CTGTCTCCAAAAAAGCGCAGCATCACACATGTCCCTCTCCTGCGCATCAATGGTGCCATTAAGTTTCCACTGTTCAAACAACTAGTAAAAGTTGTGAAACTGGATAATTTTACACAAAAATGCTTAGCGAGTCATTTTTTTTACACTAAAATCCACGGTAAAAAACGCATTATTTATGTCAGTGGCTTTACCTTTGAAACTGAGATTAGTATAAGGTTTGGTCCCATTTAGGATACTTCCATTTTCTCACTGTCACGCAAATACCCGTAAACTAAAGTTTGTTAAATCATCCAGTTGTGCTCGCAGGAACATCACCATTTCATTCATAAAGTAGACAACACACTCATGACAAATATGGAGTTATAGTGCTTGTAACTTTTAAATATAACTTGTAAACAATAACTTGTAAAATCAAATAATTATTTTGCCATTAATTAGGCGTATCAAATACTCCTTTTTAAGTATTTCACAGGACAATTGTACCTAATATACAACATATTTATATCTTTCTTTTTATAATTTGAAATATTAAGTTAAAATCTGAGCGTTCGGCTGACAAAAAAAGTTTGGGAACATCTGGTCTAATTGAAGCTGAGGAAAGGTGCGGGTTAGAAAAGAACAAGCGCTCGAGTTCTGAGTTGCTTGTGGACTGAGAGAGAGAAAAGCCTGTCGATCGCCCCCTGGAGGAGGAAGAAATAATCACGAGGCTGAGCTGTCCTTTGTGCACCGAAAGCAGACAGAGGCCAGAGAGAAAGCGAAATGAAAGACAAATAAATGAAGCAATTGAATTTAAAAGCATAACGAAGGAACAACCATGGGAGCCGAGCCATAAAGTGTATTAATGAAGATAAAGCAAAAGCTTACAGCACCTGGTATTCCCAGGCGGTCTCCCATCCAAGTACTAACCAGGCCCGACCCTGCTTAGCTTCCGAGATCGGACGAGATCGGGCGTGTTCAGGGTGGTATGGCCGTAAGCGAGAGTCTCAGCCAATAAAGAGCTATTTAAAGAAGGGACACCGGGGCTCAGCCTGCATTCACACACTTCCCAGCAGGCTGTAGCTGCAAGACAAACAGGAACCACCAACTGTTTTCATGCAGCCTTGAATATGAATCTGAGAGGACTCGTGTGTTTATGTTTTTTTTTTTTTTCAGACAAATGGCCCCAATCTCTGACTCCCTTCACCCATGCATTGTAGTGGGGTGAACTGTTGTCTCCAAATAGCCAGCAGGGTTCACATATGCACAGTCACACTCATTCATTCAGTGGTTCCACGTGATTAAAACAAGTAATCTTAACAAAACAGGAACAAATAAAAGCCAATAAAATCAACCATGTAAAACCAACTAGAACCAATGGTGTTGTTCATTTAACTTGAATGAAAGGTTTTAGTTAACTTCAATTGATGGTTTTCAGTTAACTTGAATTATTTAAGGTATCCTACATTTAAGGTGACTTGTTTAGTCTATATGTCTATATCACATTGGACGAAATCCATTTGGTCAGGTTAAAACAACTATGTGTAATAATTTTATCAGAAAATACAACAGAAACGGCACACACTATATATAACATCCATATTTACTGGGGGGAAAAAAAAAGTTCACAAAAGGTGTCATACCTGAACTACAGTAGCAAACACAAAGAAGGCTATGGGCTTTTTTGCATTCTGAAGCTTACAGAATATTAGTTAAGGCAGCACAGAATATGTACACTGCTCAAAAAAATAAAGGGAACAATCAAACAACACAATGTAACTCCAAGTCAATCACACTTCTGTGAAATCAAACTGTCCACTTAGGAAGCAACACTGATTGACAATCAATTTCACATGCTGTTGTGCAAATGGAATAGACAACAGGTCGAAATTATAGGCAATTAGCAAGACACCCCCAATAAAGGAGTGGTTCTACAGGTGGTGACCACAGACCACTTCTCAGTTCCTATGCTTTCTGGCTGATGTTTTGGTCACTTTTGTATGCTGGCGGTGCTTTCACTCTAGTAGTAGCATGAGACGGAGTCTACAACCCACACAAGTGGCTCAGGTAGTGCAGCTCATCCAGGATGGCACATCAATGCAAGCTGTGGCAAGAAGGTTTGCTGTGTCTGTCAGCGTAGTGTCCAGGGGCCTCATTTATAAACGTTGCGTACGCACAAAAGAAGGCGTACGCCGCTCTCTACGCAATAATTGGTATTTATAAAAAGCAAACTTGACGGTAAAATGTGCGGTCCTTCACGCAAGCTCTGACCCAGGCGTACGCACAAAAACGGGTGAAATGAGAAATAGCGACACCGTCGGCAGATGGAAGAAACACGTGAAAGTGTGTGAAACTGTAGACCGTTGTGTAATGGCAATACTGCCTCTCATAAATAACACGAAGACTTCACAAAGCAAGTCTTACAATTAACAGCCTACACGAACACCCGTTTGATCGATCTGCAACAGAAATGCAAATTAACACATATTTGCAAAAATAAAAGTGAAAAATATGTTCTGCAATAATATTGGCATGTTATACAATTCATCCTCATAAATAAGATGGTAAACAGAACGAAATAATGTACAAAACTGATATTCTCGCCAATGTGTCCGTCAGGCGGAGCAGATATAGATGCAATTAGATAGATAGATAATTAGGGAGATAGATAGATAGATAGATAGATAGATAGATAGATAGATAGATAGATAGATAGATAGATAGATAGATAGATAGATAGATAGATAGATAGATAGATAGATGTATTATTTGTCCACTGGGGAAAGTTGTTTTCATAGTAAAAATGTCTTTATCAGCTACGGAATCATGGTATTCATGCATATGCCTTTAGTTTGTTTTATTTTTGATAAAATAACGTATGACGTATGTCTCAATCATTCAGAAAGCTGCAAGAAATTACATTTGCGCTGAACTATTTCCCATTTCCAAGTAGATTATAACCGACATCTGTAGCTTGTCATTTCTTTTTTATTTCGGCCACAGTCCGAGGTTGTGAGGCTACAGCACTTACGGCGTCTGCAACCTTTTGCCACTCAAGTGCCAAAATGGCATTAGTAATGCCCACACTGTGCCCTCCAAACAACATTTTTCTCCTCTTTTCCACCTCGCCAACGATAACGTCTACTTTACATTGAGTGAAGTTACGTTTTTTTGATTTCCTCTCTATGTTTGCCATGATTTCGCAATCGATGAATATTAACTTATGGGCGTTTCACGGACTATTTATGGGCAACTATGGGCGTGACATGAAGCCGCAAAAGCTGTGCTACATTTAGAATTGATTGTGATTTATTAAGGGAAAAATGCGTAGGATGTGCGTGCGCACGGTTTTATAAATCCGAATATTTCTGTGCGTACGCACGTCCTATGTTTCATCCGTATGCCACTTCTGACGCAAATCCTACGCAAAGTTTTATAAATGAGGCCCCAGAGCATGGAGGCGCTACCAGGAGACAGGCCAGTACATCAGGAGACGTGGAGGAGGCAGTAGGAGGGCAACAACCCAGCAGCAGGACCGCTACCTCAGCCTTTGTGCAAGGAGGAGCAGGAGGAGCACTGCCAGAGCCCTGCAAAATGACCTCCAGCAGGCCACAAATGTGCCTGTGTCTGCTCAAACGGTCAGAAACAGACTCCATGAGGGTGGTATGAAGGCCCGACGTCCACAGGTGGGGGTTGTGCTTACAGCCCAACACCATGCAGGACGTTTGGCATTTGCCAGAGAACACCAAGATTGGCAAATTGCTGAAAAGCTGCAGTGCTCTTCACTGATGAAAGCAGGCAGCAGAACGTTCTCCACGGCGTCTCAAGACTCTGACACGTCTGTCACGTGCTTAGAGTGAACCTGCTTTCATCTGTGAAGAGCACAGGGCGCCAGTGGCTAATTTGCCAATCTTGGTGTTCTCTGGCAAATGCCAAACGTTCTGCATGGTGTTGGGCTGTAAGCACAACCCCCACCTGTGGACGTCGGGCCTTCATACCACCCTCATGGAGTCTGTTTCTGACCGTTTGAGCAGACACATGCACATTTGTGGCCTGCTGGAGGTCATTTTGCAGGGCTCTGGCAGTGCTCCTTCTGCTCCTCCTTGCACAAAGGCTGAGGTAGCGGTCCTGCTGCTGGGTTGTTGCCCTCCTACTGCCTCCTCCACGTCTCCTGATGTACTGGCCTGTCTCCTGGTAGCGCCTCCATGCTCTGGACACTACGCTGACAGACACAGCAAACCTTCTTGCCACAGCTCACATTGATGTGCCATCCTGGATGAGCTGCACTACCAGAGCCACTTGTGTGGGTTGTAGACTCCGTCTCATGCTACTACTAGAGTGAAAGCACCGCCAGCATACAAAAGTGACCAAAACATCAGCCAGAAAGCATAGGAACTGAGAAGTGGTCTGTGGTCACCACCTGTAGAACCACTCCTTTATTGGGGGTGTCTTGCTAATTGCCTATAATTTCGACCTGTTGTCTATTCCATTTGCACAACAGCATGTGAAATTGATTGTCAATCAGTGTTGCTTCCTAAGTGGACAGTTTGATTTCACAGAAGTGTGACTGACTTGGAGTTACATTGTGTTGTTTAAGTGTTCCCTTTATTTTTTTTGAGCATTGTATATGAAAGGAAATACTAACTATTTCAGTAAACAGGAACTAGAAAAAAGCTTTCTCCTATCATATTTATAACATAGCATATGCACACCTGACCTAACCTCATTTGATAGAATAGCTGCTCTTTCCAGTGCAAAATCTGCAATACTCACCAGAAACACTCTGGGCCCGTTGTCTGCAATCACAACTTGACCAGTACCCTTCACAAACTCTGGATCTTACTTTTGTAAGAATAAACACAGCACAGGTTGCACACAAGTATGTGTAAGGCCTACAAAACAACATCGTAAATAAGTGATGACGCCAAAACAAGTTATTGCTATTGAGGCCTGCAGGCGGCAGTAATGCGCGACATGTGCAAAAGAATGGCAATGACGTCACGAAGAAGAAAAGGACGTTGTTATCCTGTCCGTGTGCTTCGGGTCCTTATGAAGTGAACAGTCAAATATTTATGTTTTAATCTGTTTGATTTCACTATTGGCATTTCATATTTACTACTGCAAAAGGGAAACAACACAAAGGTAATTATATTCTTCTGTGAATTTTAGATGACGAATAAAGTCGCAGTGATCAACGATTGATTGATTGATTAAGTAACGTTACATTGGACTATTATTATTATTATGAACCTTCCTTAGCTGGCCACATGAGCTGGTCATAGATTGTGTGAGCCTTTCAGTATCAAAATCTAGAAAGAATCCTACCTAGAGTGTTTTTATTTGGCAGTTTGTTGTGATTTGCTTGAACCTTGTGTGTTTTCTGTTACTTTGCATTTTTCAATCCATCTTCCTAACAAAGGGTGACATGTACATACACAGTACACACATTCGCACTCATACCCATTACCCATAAACAATTTGCTGTCTCCAATGCCCCTGTCCTTCATGTCTTTGAATTGTGGGGTAAAACCGGAGCAACATGCAAGCAAACAAACACCGCACAAAAAGGCCTCCTCCTTGTTTAAGCCTTTCTGCAATTGTTCAGATTTATTTAAGTTGTTATGATGGTGAATCTAATAGAGAACATTTTCACCCAAGGGAAGTGCAAATTATTTACAAAACCCAGAAGAGTGAAATGGCAAAAAATAGAGTAATGTCCAACACATACACTAACGTTACCTGTCAAAAGTTTGGCGTAATTTATTATTTTTAAAATGGTTTAAAAAAAGTTTTTATGCTCACCAAGCTTGCATTTAATGTGATTAAAAATACTGTAAATCTGCAATGTTGTAAAATATTGTTACTATTTAAAATAATTTATTCCTGTGATGGCAAAGCTGAATTTTCAGCAGATATTACTCGTCAGAGTCACATGATCCTTCAGAAAACATTCTATGCTCTTGGTGCTCAAGAAACACATTATTTTCAAGATTAAAAACAGTTGTGCTGCTTAATATTTTTGTGAAAACATAACATACAGTACCATTCAAAAAAAGACAAGAAAACAATTTTATTCAACAAGGATGCATTAAATTGATGATGATATTTCTATATATATAAAAAAAATGCTGTTCTTTTGAACTTTATCAAAGCATCCTGAAAAAAAAGATCACGGGTTCCACAAAAATATTAAGCAGCAAAAACATTGATAGTAATACGAACTGATATAAGAACTGTAATAACTGATTACAGCACCAGTAATAATTGATAATAATTGAACACCAAATAAGCATATTTATGAAGGATGATAAGTCAGCCAGCCTCAGTCAGTCGTAATGATCCTCCATCATCACTGGAGTAATGGCTGCTAGAAATTCAGCTTTGCATCACATGAATACATTTAAAAATATATTAAAATAGAAAATGGTTATTTTTAAGATGTAAGAATATTTCACGATATCATTGTTTTTGCTGTATTTTTGATCAAATAAACGCAGCCTTGGTGAGCATAAGAGACTTTCCAAAACAGTGATAAAATATGTCTTTTTTTCCCCTTTGGGTTTTTCTCAGATGGGGGAGGTGGAGTTGTCCTGTCTGGCTTATGCCAAAATGTTCCTACATGCCAGTCAGTTTCCACGCTGCAGTGTGAACGGCCTGCTGTTGTCCTCCAGTCCAGCAGGGGGAGCTGTGTGTATCACAGACTGTGTGCCGCTGCTCCACTCGCACTTGTCTTTGGCTCCAATCACACAGCTCGCTCTTACACAGGTAACTACTAGGGATCGACCGATATGGATTTTTTAGTGCCGATACCGATACCGATTTTTTTCCCATCAGCCTTAGCCGATGACCGATACGGGCTGCCGATTTTCTTGAGCCGATATTTGGAGCCGATACATTTTGCTCCCTCAATTTACATCATAAAAATGACATGATGTTAACAAATGTTACAGGTCTCAATTTAATAAAAGTAACATTTATTTAACGTAAAAAAACAATATTTAACAAATATTAAAAACATGTGAGGTAGAACAAGAACAAGTAGATAAACAATATTTAACAAATATTAAAAACATGAGGTAGAACAAAAAAAAGTTCACTGCTGAAAATAAATATTTAAGCATAAATAAAATAATTACACTATTGCACACAGTAGCAACTAGCATAATAAAGTGCACAGTGCACACTGTACTTCATTTTAAAAGTAACGAACTATTTACTGCCATGGTTTAAATTTTCTACATAAAATAAAATGAGCATGTCTAGTCTCTAATATCACTGCGATGGCGAGGGAGACACACACCACACGCGTCCAAACCTCAGCCAGGTGGTCGCTGAATAAATATCCCACAAAAAGCACGGAACAACGTTGGTATTACTTAATCCTATGACCAGTGTTCGTAACAGCTACCGTACGCATACTAGGGCTGTCAAAATTGCTCAAATGGCGTTTGTATATTCCCTCTAAAAAAACATATTTGAACATATCGTCGTGTATTTGGTCAATGACGCGCATTACGTCAATAACAGGACAAATTAATACAAAGAGACATAACTAGTAGTATTAAGTAGCTTATTTGAGTTTAAACATATTTGACAACGTATTACTACAAAAAAAACGAGTAAATCAACTAATGGCCAAGACCGCAGAGCTCACTCTGGCTCGCCCGGACTCGCAGGCGCACTCTCTCTCTCTCTCTCGCACTCACCCTCACGCTCTCCGCGCATACCGGTTTAAATGAACAACAACAAACAAAAGTTGAGTGCTGATCAAGAGTTTTGTGCAAGCAATTTAAGGTATATAGCAGGCTTCATTCAGTGATTGAAACAAATACATTAATTGAAGTTTCACAGTACATAGAACCGACACTGAGCGCTCCGAGCGAGATGTGCTGTAGTAACGTTAGTCTGCTACCGCGAGCGTGTTTTTCCACATTTGAATATTAATTTTCACCTTTAAAATTCAGTTTTTTTAAACTATTCGAATATATATTCGTATTTAGAATATTCATTGACAGCCCTAATGCATACTGAACGGATAGCCTACAGCAATTTGCAGCTCCCTAAATACAATGGCAAGCAAGCAGTTTAATAGACGAGTCATTCGCGATTTCCATTTGGACCCACAAACTTGCTTAGCTATATAGTTGCAACCACATAACAGTTATAGAGCAACGTGTTTCCATTTTCAAAGTGTTTGACAATATTTCAGCAGTCAAACAGTTAAAAGATGCTTTGAAAGTTTAAAAGTTACCGTTATCTTGAAGCGCAGGTTGCACTCTGCTAGTGGGGGAGGGACAGTGCAGGGTCTGCACGTGAACTGCAGCGTCTCCAGCAGCACAGAGCTGCCTGTGGACGCCTGTCTATAAATAATGCCGGGAAAAAACTATCGGCGAACGCAGCAGCCGCGTATCGGCCGATTCCGATACACGTAAAAACCGCAAATATCGGCCCGATATATCGGCCGGCCGATATATCGGTCGATCACTAGTAACTACGCCTTTAATGAATGTTGGCAGTGGAAAACTAGCACAGCGAGAGAAAAGTGGAGATGAAGCATGAAGTTCGCAGTGTCAGAATGCCAGTCTGTCAGTCAAGTCTGAACTAGCAAGACGCAACGCATTACGACAACGACAGATAGTCTGATTGCATATAAAAAATAAACATTAAATGTCTTGAGCAGTGTTGTGGAAGTTACTCTGGAAATGTAATTAAATTATTGATTACTCCTTTTAAAAGTAATCAAGTTACTGTTCTGATTACTTTTTTCAAAAGTAACTAGTTAGATTACTAGCCCCCCCCCCCCCCCCAATTCATTTAAAAAAAAAAAAAAAAAACCAGAATAACTTCTTTAGCCTGCTCATGAATTAACTTTATTGGGAAGTGCATACTCTCTCTCGCAACAAACAAAATTAAGCCAGTCTCATCTGACTTTTAACTCCACTTTTTAAAATATTTTTATATTTGGACTGGACTCGACAGTAGAAGTTGATGCATTGCTCTCCGCGCCCGATACTTTCTCGAGAAGTTTTACCGTGCTGTGCTGCCCTTTCAGATGTGTTAACAAATTAGAATTTCTAGTTTTTCGCAGTTGAAAATGTTTTCTTGCCCCCCACATAATTGACGTAGCTCACAATAATGTTCTTACCGTTGACAGAAATAAACTAAAAACAAAGCTTGTATTTCCAGCTACAGAACGCGTAATTTTCTCTCCATGCTGAGTTTGTTTTCGTTGGCTTACCCACCGCGCAAGCTCTTACCAGTCAAAGTAGGTCTCGGGTAGATGACGTCACGGACTCGCGTGTGTGACAGGCATGCATCTGAAAAGCTATTTCTCTTTTTACAATCTAGATCAGGGGTTCTCAAACATTTTGGAGCCAGGGACCCCTTACAGGGGAAAAACATTTCCAAGGACCCCCTCATATTTATAACAGTGATTGAGCACAAAGTTAATGTGGGAGCGGCTAATAAAATATTTTTGCACAAATGGTCTCCACCCAGGGTCCTATGCAGGAATTTCTAAATAGCCTACTGAGGTCCCAAAAGTGATCTTGCTAGAGAGGTTGGATTTTTGATGTTCTTGATCTACACATGTGCATTTTAAGGTGTTTTAAGGCCCAAAAATTGGATAACTATAGCTTTAAAAGCATGTCAGTGGGCAGTGGCATACATTTTTTTGTCAAGATGACAGTTTAAATTTTATGATCCATATACAAAATGGAAATGCAGAATGTATATGATTATTGTTCACATGTAGGCTATATCAAAACTCAATCACATATTCCAAACCTTAAATGAAAAATGTTTCAAGGATTATTCTGCACAAAAAATATAGCCTTAGCCCATATTTATACAATAATAATGGCAATATGTTTAATAGGTGCGTGTGCTGTTAAATTGAGCTCATACCCACTGTAATTAGCTAAAAAACTTACAGTATATCTGTGTTAAATAGGAATCCATAATGTTAATCTCATCCTGGGCATAGTATGCTTCTCTTGACCTGTAGCTATTTCCTTTCCCAAAGCTGAGCTTTGATCGATACTTTGCAAACTGATTGTTTCAGTCGTTCGTTTAAAACTTCTATCTAAAACAGCTGTTTAGTTTTGCTATTTAGGCCTACATCTTATCTCGCACTTTATGACCGTTAACTGAAGCGTCGTGCGGGAACTCGCGCTCGGCTTGCAGCTTCTGTGAACATAAGCCCCGCCTACTTTGAATTAATCTCCGACTCAAACATTTTGACTCGACTGCTGTTGTTGTTAGTCTGCTGAAGCAGCTCAGACGAGAAGGTCAGTTATCATCGCGATGTACAATATCCTTGTAGCACCAAATTAAGTTAATATTATGCAATTATTTCACAACTTTCATTATATAACACACAGAAAAATGACAGAGGTCCGGACATCGGGGACCTCAATTGTGGGTACGGCCCTGGCCCTGTCCCTATGCACTTTTTAATATTACAGCACAATTTTTTAATTTTCCATTAAATAAGTTGCATCTGAATGTGTAATAGGCCTACTTGTTGCGTTGTTGAGGCGTTAGCCTTCCCCTCACTCCACAGCAAACCTTAAATTAATGGTAGCTATTCAGAACAAAACGAGAATGAAAAATAAGTAGGCTACCCTATAAGATAATAATACAAATAATAATAATAATAATAATAGTAAAGGCAACATTTATTTTAAACATCAAGTCTAAACGAATTAATTTGAATCAAAACTGAAACTGCACAGACGTTGGGCTCGTGCATCTCTCATTCGGTCCAAAGTTTCCACATTTGCGATGTAGCCTAACATTTGGATGCTTAACTGTAAAGAAAGCTGCATGCTTCAGTCCCAGTATAGCCCTACACATATCAGCATCTTCACATGCGGAGAAATGCAATTGGAATAACAGCAAGTCGACAGAATGATTGTACTGCCTTCATAGTGTACAACAGATAAATTAAATTAAGCCAAACTTTATATAAGTTCGGTTGATTGTATTTTATTTTGATAATGATCAGGCTTCTAATGTCAAATCTAGCAGTGCTAGAACTGACATATTGTGCGCGCACGCGAGACGCTGGCGCGATTACTTGGGATTTTTTCCTCAGCAGTGGAAACAAAGGAATAGCTACTAATTATTTATGGTCATACAGATAAGAAAAGAGTTCATCATTCAAAACGGTAAAGTGTCCATTGTGTATACATTAAAAATGACAACAAAATGTCATGCCTTTTAAAAATAAAGAAAACAACAGGATGCGGGTGCCGTCTCTGTCTCCTTCTGGCGCATGTGCCCCAAAATCAACCAAAACACAGCGAATAGTCTACTTGACGCACAGACATACGAAATACAGATATATTATCTATCTAGAAACCTAAGTGTCTACTTTGTATTATTTGACGTTGAATGCATTATATAAGTCACTTTGTAATAAATAGCATGTTTTCAGATGATAAAGAAAACACGAATTATAGTCCGGAAAAAACGGTAGACTGTTATAAATTATTTCGCGGACCCCCTGGCTATTGTTCGACCCCACTTTAAGAACCACTGAAGAACTGTTTTGTTCCGTTTCACAACAGTTCTTACATTTTTTCTTTTCTTGGTGTGAAAAAAAAGTAAAGAACCTTTATTGATGTATGCAGTATTTTCATAAGTTGAAAATGGAGGGTTAGTTTAAAACAGCCAATTCCTAATAGAAAATTTCTGTATAATGAAGATTTTGTATATATTTTTGCGTATCTCAATCAATGTTTAAGTAGATTACATGTTCTTCTGAAATATCCAATATCTAAATGTTTTATTGCTTTCTAATAGTTTTTTTTTTTAAGAATGATGTTGAATTATCTATATTAGCAGCATTAACAGCATGACATTGTTCTATTCCTCATTTGTAAGTTACTTTGGATAAAGGGTTTTTTTACGTGAATGAATGTTAATGTAATGACATTTATATGCTGCTCTAGAAATCTAGAATTCATGATGATATTTCCTGTTGTAGGTCGATGTTTGGTGTGCACAAACACAGCAAAGGATTGTGGGATATTATCAGGCCAACGCTTGTGTGTCAGACAGCAGGTACTCCTTCATCTTTTCTTATTTCGAGTTCCTAATTTTTCCACTGCATTTCACTTTCTCTTACTGTCTTTTTCCAGCCCTACACCCTGTGCATTGAAGATCGCAGAGAAGATCTTCGAGCAGTGTAACAATGCCGTGTTACTCATGGTAATTTTGTTTAAAATGTCACCTTGTTACGAAAGTTACTAGGAAAAGTCCTTTTTTAATTGGAAAAATGTTTGCCTCAGATTGATGGAGAAAAGATGTTTCCAGGCTGCCGTGTTCCTCCGATTGTCATGTATGAGCGCAAAGACGCTCGCTGGGCACTCAAAGACAAACACACGTAAGAAAATCTCAAAGAATGCGCTGTTTTGTTTTTGATGATAATGTTGTAGTGCAGCTTTTAATGACATGTGTTTTCATTAGAATAATGCTTCGGCAGTGGGAAGAAACCTGTTCCGTGGTTAATCAGCTGTTCAGCTCTGGTGATCAGGCACTATTGGTGGATTTTGACAGCCATTTGGATGACATCACAAAAGACTGGACCAATCCGAAACTCAATGCCAAGATCATGGAGTTGGTCTCCCCAGCCAATGGAAATGTTTAACTATACAGACTAAATCAGCTCATGTCATAGTGTTTTCACTTAAATTCTGTTTTTAATATTATTTGACTGTGTATCGTGCTTCATTTTGTCAAATTTTATATGATAGAAATGAAATATGCTGAAACATAATTTTCTTGTTCATTATGATTTGGTGCTTTGATCCTAAAAATAAACACACACTTACATTGAGGTGGATATAATACAACCAGCATATTTCCTTACTTTCATCTTTCTACATGTCATATTTAAGTAATTTAATAATAAGCTATTAATTGTTGATTTAAAGATCTATCTAAACATTAAATAATTCTGTAATAAAACGAAAATGTTCTTCTTCAGGTTCTTTCATTACATCCGAATTCTCCGTTTTTCAGATTTAATAAGAATTTTTACACATCCGGACTAAACTGAAAAAAAAAAAAAAAAAAAGTAGAATAGTCTATAATTCAGCTTGAACTAAATGAAGGTGATTGTATTAATGGCTGATGGCATGTGCATTAATCAAGTCTCTTTAGATGAGCAGGTGATTCCTTGCAGCAAATTGAGAACAAATCAAAGCACTCAGAGCAGCATGAGTGCCTTTTTAATTTGAAATATGAGAATCTTCGGGTGTGTCTGGAGCTTTTATTTCCTGTTCTCTTCCCTTCTTTTCTTTTCAGCACTGCTAATGTTTGCATTTCTAAACCTGTATGATTCTTCTGTGGAACATAAAACATATTTTGAGAATTGTCTCTGTGTTTTTGCCCACACAATGAAAGTCAACTGGCACTATTAAATTTAATCTGTTTAAGCCAATCAGAATTCAGGGTTACTATCATGTTAAGTTAAGCCTGCTTTCTGGAATACCCTCCAGGGGAGCAAATAATCACACATGCTGAGTAGCAATACAAAGTAAAGATTAAATGGATGAGTAAAGGTGTGGCAGGGAAGAGGGAGAGGGTCAAACACAACAATCAATAAAACAGACCTACAATACACTCGTTATACAGATGTATGAATATTAAAACATATGTGAAAACAAGTGAGATTTGACGTTGTTGTCATATTAGTGTATATTTTAGGAGGTCCACCAAAGGAGACAAATGGGTAGTTGACGTGACGTGGCTTTTTCACCGTCACAGAAGGAAAAAAAGTAATTATTTCACATTTTCATCATTTAAAATACTGTAAATGGTTAAACATTTTCTTGTTTTACATGAATTTGTTGTTTTAATATCAGAGTTATTTTGAATTTTTTTTACAACTTTGAGCCAAATCTCTAAATTGTCCTATGGTGTGACGGGAGACAACATTATTTCATTAATATTACCTTTTATAAATAAAGAAAATAATGTTTAAAAATCTTAATGGACACTCCTGGCATAATTGTGCAAGTGTCTACTTCACTAAGTGGCCATCACTTTTCCTATACATACATTTCTATAAGTGTAGGAATTTCATAAAGTTTGTCTCAGAAAAAAATGTCCTTTGGTGTTATGCAATAACCTGATATTAAGTTGGGCAATATCATGGACAACTACATTTAATTGAAAGACCCCATTCAAGGTCATGTGACTGAAGACCCATATGAAGCCCATGAGCAGTGCACATGGTAAGTATTTCTCTCAGAATTGTTCAAATATTTAACTATGTTTTCAGACCACGGAAGTTGTTAAGTTTTTTTGTCCTTTGGTGTGACACCCCTAAATTTCATTTTTTAATTCAAATTTGTATTTTTAACAGCAGGACTATGTAATACAATGCAAATGTATCATGCCAATTGCTAATGACAGTTAAGCTAGCATTAGCATGGTTATTAACATGCCACAAAAGCTCAAATGTCCTTTGGCGTGACAGGAAATGTCCTTTGGTGTGACAGGAAATGTCCTTTGGTGTGACACTTTGGCCTGTCACACCATAGGACACAGATGTCACAAATAGGACAAGACCTCCTTAAGAAGCTATTAAAACAAATAGATAAAGTTTGTTAACATACTTTTCATTATTTTTTTTACCAGTTTTGATGATTTTAAATTCAATAATGACTTACATTTTAATGTTTATTGCTATTTTTTGGACATTACATAAAATGTTCTGAAGTGTTACTAAAACAACTATAATGTATAATGTAACAACTATAAACAAATATAAAGTACATAAATACAGTGCTACTACTTTATAATGCTACTTAACTTTTTTTAGAACAGAAAGAACTGAGGGAGAGATGAGTGCAAAAGAGAGGACCAGACAGAAAAAGGATCCACAGAGAAAGGAGGCGATCCTAAGAGAACGACGGAGAAAGTAAATCAAACTGAAATGTTGCCATATACATCATATACATCTTAAAATAATTCAGGGATCTTGCTGAGTGACTGAAGGACTGCTAATTGTTCAGTATCAGAATAGACCTGTGTGAGGTTCAGGTTCAACATTAGTTACATAATAAGCTTGTTATTACAGAATAATAATCTATATTGTGTTTAGGGCTGTCAGTTAAACGCGTTATTAACGGCGTTAACGCAAACCCATTTTAACGGCGTTAATTTTTTTATCGCGCGATTAACGGTCTTTTTGGCATAGCAAACTTTGTAGGTTTTTTTTCACATGCTTTTGCAACAGGACGACACGGGCGGCGCTACGCTATGAAACCCATTCATTTCAATGGCTTGGGCCGCGCGAGGACGTTTTGAAAGCGCAAGCGGATCTAGCTAGACCTGAAACAAAACAACAGGCACGCTGCACACACTTGTTTGGGCTTGCGAGCCGGATGCGCGAGCGCGAATCTCTCTGCTCGCGCGCGGAATATAATGTGCCGAGCACGAATCCCTCTGCTCGAGTCGCGCGCTCTCAGATACACGCTGCTCTTGTAAGAATTTTCTCTGGGCTCGCTCAGAGAACATGCCTGCACTTAAAACGTGTTCAGTGCAATCGCGAATCTCTCCTCTTCCCCAGCTAACAATTTTGGGTTATAAGAACGTTTTCATAACGTTCCCATTAAGTTATAAAAACGTTATTTCTGAATGTTATAGGAACGTTCAAAACGTCCAGTTTTGAGTGGATGACGAGCGCGAGACGCCGAAATGGATGCCAATAAGATTCTGAATGGAAAGTTTACTTTTAAAAAGTTGCCAAATGGTTCCATTGACAAGACCAAAGTGATCTGTGCGTTTTGTCGTTGTGAACTGATCATCATCGCAGCACGTCCAGTCTGAATACCACTTGATGATGGCCAGCACACACACACACACACACACACACACACACGCACACAGCTGATGCGAATTCTCCGCCCCCTCGTCAATATCAGGACCTCGTCAGTATTTCTTTCACCTGGACAGTGTTACATTGTGTGAGAGAGATTATTTGCTCCAAGTGATAATGTTTTAGTGTGGAATTGAACATTATATGCCAATATTGTTTTCAATAAAAAACATTTGCACAAAGCAAGCCGATCCACTTTTCCATGTTGATAAGAGCATTAAAATGAGAAAAAAATAATGGGACAAAAAGAAATCAAGAGACATTTAGAATAGATAAAAATGTGTGATTAAATGCGATTAATCGCGAGTTAACTATGACATTAATGCGATTAATCGCGATTAAATATTTTAATCGTTTGACAGCACTAATTGTGTTTTATAAGAAATTGACAAGTAAGTGGTTACATTTGTAGGGAAAACACAGGTCATGAGTTCATAATTGAGTATGCATTACATTAATTTCTCTGTTGATCCATTCATCTATATTATATCATTATTTCAAACAGATATCATTTAAGAAGGCTCTCTGGGAATTGGATACATTCAACATTAAAGCACTAGGAAGGAAGAGACAAACTAAACTTATGCAATGTTTTTAGGGATTTTATTTTCATGTCAGAAGCCAAGTTTCCATCCACTTGTCAATCGAATTATCTGAAGTTCGGTAAAAAACCTCATGCGAATAAAGCTGGTGAAAGTGTGTTTCCATCCAACGGCTTTAAAGCGAATAAAAACCTGTGCGTAATGACGACACATGCTGTTTTACGATCAAATTGGTATATCGAATTGATTTGAGACATTTTCCATTCATTTTCTCACCGAATTGCACAACATTCAAGCCAACATTTGCGAACAAAGTTTTGCTAGACAAAATGGATCGCGCCATAATAACGTTTCCATCAGCGTTTATCGCATAAGCCGTATATCCATCAAGACAAAATCCGATGAGACCGAACGCATTTGAGTCGATATTCATGAAATTCAATCGAATTTTTCTGTTTCCATAAGGCATTTTTAATTCGATATTACTTAATTCGGATAAAAACGTGTGGATGGAAACATAGCCAGTGTTTCCTTATTGATGGATCTATAATCAAAGTTACTTTTGGTGTAATATGTTTTGCACAGTTTATATTGCTGAAAAATAAAAACAAATGTCCTCCTTTATAATTGTTACAATAAACACTATATATTCGGACTCTTTTTATGCAATGACTATCTTTGTCCTTTGGTGTGACGTTTTGTCCTATGGTGTGACAAACATAAAACAACAGAAAAATATACTTATTTTAAAATATCTTTTTAAAAAAAGAGTCAAGTTTGGCATTAGGGGAGTTTCAATAATATCTCCTCTTAGATGGGTACAATTTCAAACAGTTTTGTAAGGTTGGCGAAAAAGTTTTATTGACATTCGTAGGGAAAAGTTTATCAAGTTCATCTATTCATGGTGAAAATTATTTTAATTTGTACTTTCATGTAAAATAAATATCACTTTCATAAAAAATGTTTTAATGTGAACAATTCTCTCAAGTATTTTTTTATATGTTATTTAATATAATTTCTTAATACTTTTTAAATGTCACACCATAGGACACATTTACAGTAGTGTTGAGTGAAAACGTGAAAAAAAAAATGTGAAGTCATTGACAAAATGAGTAACCACTACTATTTTCTGAAACTGCAGTTTTCATACTCCATAAATATATGTATTTTTTCTTAAAAAATTATGTTTTCCAAAAAAAGTACTTTTTCTTGGCCATTTGTCAACTACCCAAATACCAATTTTCCTAAAATATCAAATACCAACTTCATCATTCATTCATTCATTGTAGTGCCCTCATAGGTGGACCTCCTAAAATATACACTAATATGACAACAACGTCAAATCTCACTTGTTTTCACATATGTTTTAATATTCATACATCTGTATAAAACATATGTGAAAACAAGTGAGATTTGACGTTGTTGTCAAATTAGTGTATATTTTAGGAGGTCCACCAAAGGAGACAAATACCAATTTTCCTAAAATATCAAATACCACCTTCATCATTCATTCATTCATTGTAGTGCCCTCATAGGTGCCATTTTTATGCAATTTGGGAGCATATCCTCCGAATGTCCTCTGGTCTATATCAAGTTTGGTTAAGTTTAAACATTGTGTTCAGGAGAGGTGAATTCGTGAAAAATGTGCGACAGCAGACTAAGTTTTAGATCAGATTAAATTATGCTTAAGTCTTTGCAATGGTTTGATAAATCAAAATTGCCATCACTGTCCCTAGCTGCTGTTTATGAAATTTGGTAAAGATCAGACCAATAGCCTAGAATGAGTACGAATTTTTTATTTTTTTTATCAAAATGGAGAAATAAATGTATAGCCAGAAATTAAAACAGGGATGTACCTTTATGGGTCTCAAGGATTCAGGGGAAAAGAAAGAAATTCTCAAGATTTCCAAAACATAAATTGCCTTGTTATAATGCCCACACACTTTTAGGGGAAGATGATGATGAAGAAAAAGAAGTAGAAGAGGGTTCCAGCACCTTCAGTGCTTTACTGGATCACTAAAACAGATGCATGACACCCCTGATACTTGGATGGTTAATTGTTTTTGTATAGCTATTGATGACTAAAGTTGGTATAAGCCAAAACAAGTAGCCTCACACTTACTTTTTAGTCGATGAAATCCAAGAAAACTGAAGCTCTCAGTTTATGCCATTACGATTGAGACAGCAGAGGACAAGGCAAGTGACAACAACATTTATTGCCATTGATTAATATAAAGTGACAAATTCAATGATACATTAGCGTTATCGGAAGTTATTTCAAACACTCGCTGGTGTCTGAAAGTGAGTTTTGAGCTGAAAAGTGTTTAAAATGTCTTAAAATGTTGAAATGAACTGGTAGCCTAGTATGACAACATCGGAAATGAACAGCAGTGTTGACCATCTCCTGATTCTGGTAAATGCCGTTGTTCATGACCACTCCTCACGCCCCAGTTGGCCCGCTTTGGACCAAGGTATTCAGCTTTTGGCCGACATGCCTATTGACTAAAGATGTGTCTTTGTATTACTTATAAATATTTAACTGCTATCTGGCTATATATTTAAGCAACTAATAATTGCATCATTTCCACTAACTACATACAGTAATGGGTTTCTACCAGTTATCTCAAGCCATTTTCCTCTTCATTTTGATCCTTAATGTTTAGAATGCTGCGAGTGATATCTTAGAAGTTTGTTACTCTGATACTTCAACAAAGGTTCAGAGTCACTTCCCCTGTAGGAGACTGGCTGGCCAAACATTTGAGAATTGCAATAGGGTCTCTTAGGGTCTTGACCTCTTCTATCTGGAACTCAACCCATGGAAGAGAGATCTGGAGAGAGAAAAATTAAATTGAAAAGTGCACCCAAAACAACGTCTCTTTCGTAAAGTTTTTTTTTTTTTTTGCTGTACATCTCCCCAAAAAAAATGTAGCATCTGATCTATATACATCCATTATACCTTCCCATAAGGTCTTTACCTTAATGATGATGTGTTTATCAGAGATGTTGTCTCCATCATTCAGTTCTTCTCCGAAACACAGCGTGATCTCACTTTGAGGTTCTTTTCCTCCATTGCGGAAAGCATCCAACTCTGAGAATAGGAAAGAAAATCTTCAAAACTTGGTCGAAACTTGGTATTACTGTATACAGGGAATCAGAAGAGGAAAGAAACATTGCTAGCTAATGTTGACATTATGTTTACACTATATAGCCGGAGGAGAACTGACCCATCGTTTTTTTCTCCTGTATCTAAAACCAACCTTTTTTTTTATTTCTTGCCACAATTGCCTCTGGCTTGATCACTGGGGGACTTAGGCTACAATCACACTGCCAGTCCAAATCCGAATATTTCTTAATCCAATTGTAATCTGATCTAAATGACTGAATGTCCACACTGTGTATTGCAACTGTTTAGGCCTGATTTGTGTGTCCCTTGCCGTTGCGTTGGTATGCCTACACACCGAAAAACAACAACAGCAACAGAGACGTTGGGAATACAGTTGTTGTATTACAACATGTGTAGCCGGTAGGGGTGTAACGGTACACAAAACTGATGGTTCGGTACGTACCTCGATTTTGAAGTCACGGTTCGGTATGGATTTGGTACAGCAGGGGGGAGAAAATTAAACATCAAATTTCTTCTTTTTTTTATTAAACAGTGGTTTAATGAACAAACGGTGTCTCTGTCTTTAAATTAATTCAATTATAATGAAAGGTTTCTTAAGGATAAATAAAATATTTGCTGTAAACTATATATAAGGGAGCCCTTACTTGCACATTACTATAATATTAAAGGTTAATAACAGAGCCCAAAATATTATTATATTATTTAAATTCAGTTACTGTTTATTACTACGAGCCCGTAGTCAGCCCGATCCGTGTAAAGATCCTCAGCAAAGGCCATATCCAGCTAACAAAAATATGTTCTCAGAGTTTTGCCATTAAGTTATGAAAACGTTCAAAACGTCCCATTTTTTTAATATATAAAAAAGTTTTTCTTGGTTTATGTGTATGTTAGAGGCCCTGTTTCCACATAATATTAAGATGCGTTTTGGTCGACCGGATGCGGACCATCTTTTTCCACAGTCTATGGGATAGACGTGGTAATTGCTGATGAAGAGTTGATTGGATAGACTTTTTGAACGTGCTCCTCCCGAACTTTGTTAATGAAACATCATTACAGGATGACGGGATTTAAACTTTGTTGGCTGAAGACCCAAGTTTGGTTTGAAGACGAAAAACGTACCAAGCACAATGTTCTCTCACCATTCCTGATTTCTAACACACACTCACCGCGTTCGGCTGGTCTTGCGGCATAAAGACAATTTAGTATCACCAGTTTACCTGTGCTGCATGACTTTGAACTGTGGAGGAAACTAGATTACCTGGAGGAAACCCACACTGACACAGGGAGAACATGCAAACTCCGCACAGAAAGACTCATGGCTCAGTTGGGACTCGAACTGGGGACTTTCTTGCTGTGAGGTGAGTGCTACCCACTGAGCTGTCCTGCTTATATTTATGTTTATATTAATTCAAATGATAAAAATAGAAAAAATTTCAACAATTGATTTCTTACAGCCACAGGTAGGGGTTTTAAGTAACAAGTTCCAAAAACTGTGTTAAGATACATTTTTCAGAGTGTTTACATTTTCCCAGAGTATACAAGTTTCTAAGTGCATTAAATGTTCGAATTATAAAATAAACAGATAAGACTTTACTTTAAGATTTACATTTTACTGTAGCAGTACACTGAAGTCAAGTCACCTTTATTTATATTGTTTATACAATGCAGATTTTTTTCAAAGCAGCTTTACAGTGATAACAGGAAAAGGATTCAATGATGCAAAACAGTTCATTTCTGCTGTACAGCAGCTCTAAAAGAAAGTGTCATTGCTCAGCTGAAGTTAGTTCAGTGTTGATTCAGTTCCGTTTTAAAGTAGTTCATTTCATCAATAAAGCAGCTCTGCGGAAAACAGTGATGTCATCGTCCAGCTCAGTTCAGTTCTCATACAACAGCGTCTGTGCAGTCAAATCAATAATATTGTTGAATATAAATTGTCCCCAACTAAGCAAGACAGAGGCAACAGTGGCAAGGAACCCAAACTCCTTCAGGTGACAGAATGAAGAACAAAACCTTGGGAGAAACCAGGCTCAGTCAGGGGGCCATTCACCTCTGACAACAAATGAAAACTGTGCGATTATGATTCAGTCTACATCACAAGTCAGAATCAGATTGTAGATTGTGGATGCTATGTGGTAGCATTCAAATATTTCATCCAGTTCCTTTTATTTGAAGATCGGATTCTAAAATGTGTAAGAGTCTCTGGGAAGTACAGTCCAAGACATGGAATCATAAGAGCAAAGCTTACATTTTCTAAACCAAAAACACAACCCCACCAAGTTAAACAAGAAAAGAACACAAACTCAAACACAAAACTAGACAGGACACAAGTCAAATATAACTTGATGTTGAAAACAACACAATAGAAAAAGAAAACACCCCAAAATGTAGTTGTGAATACCGTAAAACTTCAAATAATAGCCGAGTCCCAAATAGACGCCTATTGTGGCTGCAGGTTTGGGTAAATAAAGGCCGGTCTCAAATAGAGGCCGGGTCTGTTTTTTTAGTTTCGGGTTGTATTTAATCTTCTAAAACCGTCAGATCAGCGGCCGCCAACGCAAATGTTTGTCCCGCCAAAGCCTTTTTTGTCTTGGTCTCTCTGAGTTTCACGTGGAGCATTTGGGGATTTTTAGAGATTAGAGGCTCTAGGCCTACACTCAATGAACAACATCTCAACACTAAATTATAAAGGCCTGTCTCATATAGAAGCCTGTCTCAAATACAAGCCAGTTCGACGATTTGGGAAAATAAAAGCCCGGACTACTATTTGAAGTTTTACGGTATATTAACTGTTTAATTTGGATGTTCAAACACTGTCATTTTACAAAATGCTTTGTGATGCTGCATGATGAAGAGAGACGTAATAGTGTAATGGTTGTCTGCAGACTTGTCTGCAGAGCTGTGAGTAATAGAAAGATAATGAGAAAATTAAGTCCAGAATCAGATGATTTTATGAGTTAAATGGACAGTTGATCCGTGATCCGTAAGGACCATGCCCCACGATTCGGCACGCATTTGCGGATTAATTGCAAGTTTAAGCACCAAGTGAAAGTTTATAATTTGCATGTGTTTTGTCTTGCCAGTTTACACATTCAATAGGTTTTAAACAATTCCAGTGCTAGAAGAGGCAAAAGAGAATTTAAGAGGCACAGCCGCACACACACCGAAGCGCGCGCACAGAGCGAGTCGTGTTTCAGATAGCGTGCAAACTCCGAATTGATTCCCCTTTCGCGTCTCCTTGCACTCAGAGCCGGATTAACGCAAAGGCAAACTAGGCACGTGGCGTCATACATGTGACGCTTTGTACATTTCGTTGAAATCTTATGCACATGGCATCCTTTAGCATCAATATGAGACGCAGATCCCAAGGCGTCATACAGGTGACGCTCGTCTAAATCCGACGCACATGGCATCGTTTAGCGTGAATATGAGACGCAGATCCCAAGGCGTCATAACCGTACCCTACCCCAGACCTAAACCTACCCATAACAGTGCGTGTTATATTGACGCTAAAGGATGCCATGTGCGTAAGATTTCGACGAAATGTCATATGGCGTCACCTATATGACGCCAAAGGATGAGAATGCGTTGGATTGGCGGGATGGGGCCTGCAGACAGAGGGACAAAAATATATAAAAATGTACAAATGTCCTATCTACAATTCATTTCAATATTTATTAATTAACTAAAAATAGTGACGATGTTTATCTTAACCATAGACTGATACATTACGTCACATTAACGCCAGCCCATCAGGTGCTGCGAAGCAAAAGCCTAAATAGGCACGCAAAGAAGCACAGCTCGTAATGCAGGTGTGTGTGTTGTCGTCATCTATTTTGGAGTGATTGCAATGTATTCTAAATATAAACTTGAACTGTAGATCAGCGTCATTTCTGGAAAAATCATTCACCGCTTTATTACGAGTTTAAAAGAGCGCGAGCGTCATTAACGTGCCCAGACGCGATGCTTTGAATTTGCGCGTACAATGAATGACATCCGTCGGGAGCTGACTAAAAACGCTACAAAAGTTAAAGTCAAGACGTTTGTATTCAAAGTTAAAAAGCCAACACACTACAACATTTTTAAATGTTTCAAATAAAGGCTCTCATGGGTCTATCTTCTAAATTCTCCTAATGATTATACCGTCTGACATCAGCCTACTTACGCCAATAATATCAGTTTAGAATTTTTTTTCTAATCAGTAGCGATCGTGTCTTTCTCTTCCACTTGATTTATGTATAGCATATTTAAGCTAGCAATGCAATGCATAGGGACCACCCACTTGCTCATTCTCTGTTTAGACGCAGGACACCCTTTCCTGGGTGGCCCGAAACATACAAAAAGTTGTTCTGATTTCCTCCACAGGGCAGCTCTGTGGACATAAGCGTCTAACCTACTATCATATTACTTATATATTAATAATATGACAATATCTGCGGTCAATATTGATTAAATAGGAGAGGAAAATCCTGCCCATACCGCAGCTATGAAAAAAATTATAAAAGCATATATCACTGAAGTGGTATTCTGGAACTGTGAATAATTTGAATAAAACAGCAAAATAACAATAACAATAACATCTTCATTAAACAAAAAAGAGATTACCTTAGATGAAGTTTGATTAATATGTACATACAGTAGCCATGATACTGGTAAAAAGTCTGGACCAATTACTATTTTTAATGTTTTTGAAAGAAGTTTTTTATTATGCTCTACAAGCCTGCATTTATTTGATCAAAAACACAAAAAACCCCCCAAAAAACAGGAATATTCAGCAAGGATGTGTTAAATATACACTGTAAAAAGTAATTGTTGATTCTACTTAAGAAAAACTAGTGAATTTAACTTACTTTGAAAACTCAGTTGATTTAACTTGATTACACTGTGTACTGTGAACTTTTAGGTGAAACTAAACAAATCTAGTACATTGTACTTAAGATTGGTAAGTGTATTGTACTAAAGGCATG